TCTCTCTCTCTCTCTCTCTCTCTCTAATGTTCGTCACCATCGATGTTCTCTTATGCTCCAACACAGTTGCACGGGGTGCAGAATAGTTTCCCCCCACTTTCGTGCAAGACATCGGGGAACTGCTTTGCCCGGTCTTTAGCAGAAATGTTCGTCGGTAAATGAGATGGATTACATTTTTTCATCTTGGTGTTTTCTCTCTCATGTGAGCTCCACACGTTCACTCTACGGTGTTGTTTACCTTCTGTGATGCGCGAGCCGATGACGTCGCGCATCATCATCACTTCAGGTCAAGACGAGTTCACTTTTTCCCCCTCAACTTTGTGTGGAAAAATACGGGGATTATGCGGCCTTTTGATACATATGCGGCCTTTTAAAAATCTGCGCCATTTTGCTGATTATGTGGTAAATTCTGCGATCGCAGAATCGCGTTTTTCTGGAGGGTCTAAGTAACAGGTGAACATAACATATTTTGAGTGATCAAGGACGTGTTTGTAGCCTATGTGTTGAATATCATTTTAAGAAAGCATGGGAATTTTTTAACATCAAATAATGTAGCTAGCAAATGTATAGCCATAATAACTGCCAGTTATTTATTTGTATTTCAATATTCAGAAACAAATACATAGGCTATATGCACACATACTTTTTATACTAGTCTTTACATAGAAATACAATAACAATAACCTGTTTCAGGAGAAATACAAAAGGTGTTTTAAAGTGACAACTTCCTGAAAGAAACACACAACCACCTGGATACATACAGAGTGCAAAAACTTGACTTAAGTTAAAACTACATTTAAAGAAGCAATTGGTCTTGATGCTAAACATGTTCGAATTTAAAGAAATGCATGCAGTCCAGGTGGATTAAGGCTGATATGCTAAACGTGGCTGGCTAAGCCAGAGGGAGGTGAAGAGTCGAGTGTGGCAGTGTGGTGTTCAAATTCACTGGCAGGCTCCCAAGTGTCTTCCCAAGTTCTGCAACTGTAGAGTGGACAACGTGTCGTTAGAACAAAGAGCAAACCTTCCGATCATTGTTAAAGAAAAACAAACACAAGATTAATTTACCAACACATGTTTAAGAGGGATTCATTTAAAACATAGGTAATTGACATTTTCTGATCTTTGTTAACGTGGCACTATGTAACTTAAACCTGGTTTTAATAGGTTTCCGGTGTTATGTTCCAAGGAGACCTGGCCGTTATAAACACACAGGGATAAAGTGGGTAGTGGTGGTCTAATGGATAGTGGGCTGAAGATCGGAAGGTTGTGAGTTCAAATCCCGCCTGGAACACCACCAAAGTGTGCCCTTGAGTAAGGCACTTAGCCCTTAGTTACTCCAGGGAGAATGTCCCTCTAACTGGTCATTGTAAGTCGCTTTGGATAAAAGCGTCAGCTAAATGAAATGTAATGTAATAAAGAGAGTGACTCGCAGTTCCTCGCTGGTCTGAACTGTGACCATGGGTTTATTATCATCATTGCTCTTATCCTCACTGCAAGTCTTCATGGAATATAAGACAACACTATCGTATTTACCTCAGGCAATAGAGCTTTTTCCAAAAGATTTTAAGGAGCACTCTGAACTACCATCCAACTTCAGACAGGAGGTGAAGCTAACATATACCTTTCTTTGTATTACTTGTGTTATGATACCTTAATGAAAGCGTGATCATTTGACTACTTTCTTAAATACTTTGGTTACTACTTTAAACAGTACAGATTAACGAGAGAAGGGAAATACCACTCTGAAAGGGTTAAAAGTGGAAAAAATGTAATAGTGTATGAATGAAATATTAACTACGTCTTACCACATAGAGCAAGGCAACCAGCATATTTTACATTCTGCTTTCCGCGCAATTTTTTTTTTTATGATGATCACTTCATTTAATTCTCCTTTGTCTAATACACCTCTTTTTGCTTTTATTTGTTCTATTTGACTTTGTATACATGTCTAGTCTATCTGAAAATGTATGCCATATAGCTGTTGTGTTTTCATCAGGTCTCTCTTGAGAATAAAACCCTGTCCCCATGAGATTAACTATATCATTGTGAAGTAAATCAAACATTGTAAAATGATCTACAGACTTGTCTATTTGTGTCAAATATGTTTGTCCCTATTTCATGTAATCCAGCAAAATGTCCTTGGCAGGCTTCACAAAACCCTCTTAGGTTAGCCATGCATCAATATCAACCATGACCCTTTCATAAGCCACCAAAACGCAGCTAAACAATGTATTAACAATAACATGCGGTGCACTGGTCTGGTTACCTGAATGAAACCTGGCTTAGATACCCTATAATTGATTTAAGTGAAATGTGCTTGGTATCAAATGTATTATTAGTGTGTGAACTCAAAACGTACCATCTGGTTTCATCTTCTTCTTTTTTGGCTGTTCATTCAGACAAGACTGGGAGATGGCATGAGGAGGAAGAATACCGGATTGTGAGGAAGAAGAGGAGAGAGAGGTTGAACATGGCACCAGATTAAGAATGAAATGACTCTCTTGCTGCTCTCTGATAAGGGTCTGTAGTTGTTGCTCGGAAGCTGGTCTCTCTTGCTGCTCTCTGCTAATGGTGTTACAATTATTGTGTTATGTCAAATTTTGTATGTCTTGTTTTGGGTGTTTTGCTGTTCTCCCTGTCGTGTTTTCCTTCCTCTGGTCCTTTTCTCTGTGTTTTTCCTCCTGTCATTAGTTTCCCTGGTGTGTCTAGTTGTCTGATTGTGTTCACCTGTGGCCCTTGTGTTTCTCCTCCCCTGCCCGGCTGTTTCTCGTCTTGTGATTACCCCTCCCTGTATTTAGTCTTGGCTCTTCCTGTGTTCAGTGTTGGTTCGTCTTTTGTTGGTGACTGAGTTCACCGGGGAGTGTTCTGTTTTGTCCGAGTTTTATTCATATCCTTGAAATAAAGGTGTTATCAGTTTATTCTGCATTTGGGTCCTGCCTGCTTCACTCTACCGTAACAGAACGAACCAACCAACCAAGAATGGACCCAGCGGACAGTTTGTACGAGGTGGAGTACAATTTAACATGTTTGAGGAATGACTTTAAATATGCCTCCAGTAGTGAAGAGAGGCAGTCCGTTTTTTCTGCGGCACGCCAGGAGGTAACCTCAAGGCCCTGGTTGAGGGAGTTGCTACCCGAGTGGGTGGAGGACTTTTTTGGCAGCTTTGAGGTCAAACCTGATTCCCGGCCTGCTAGCCCCAGGCATGCTGGCTCCATGTCTCCCAATTCCCAACCTGGCACCATACGCCTTGGTGGGTTCCGCCTGAAGTCAACCCGTGCTTCTGCCCCAGTTCCTGCTCCTGTCCAGGAGTTGTATTCCGGAACTCGTCTGGCTTATGGAGGTCCACGGAGTATTCAGGCGGCTGTTAAGAGGAGTCGTCGCAAGGCCAGGCTAGCAGCCCGAGCAGCCATGGTTCCGGCTACAGAACCGGCCCACACAGCCATGGTTCCAGCCCCAGTAGCCATGGTTCCAGACCCAGTTCTGGCCCCAGCGGCCATGGTTCCAGACCCAGCTCTGGCCCCAGCTGCCACAGTCCCATCTCAAGTTTCCTCTCGAGTCCCCTCTCCAGTTCCCTCCCGAGTCCCCTCTCCAGTTTCCTCTCGAGTCCCCTCTCCAGTTTCCTCTCAAGTTCCTTCTCAAGTCCCCTCTCGAGTCTCCTCTCAAGTCACCCCTCCAGTCCCCTCTCGAGTCACCTCTCAAGTCCCCTCTCGAGTCACCTCTCAAGTCCCCTCTCGAGTCACCTCTCAAGTTCCATCTCTAGTCCCTTCTCGAGTCTCCTCTCAAGTCACCCCTCCAGTCCCCTCTCGAGTCACCTCTCAAGTCCCCTCTCGAGTCACCTCTCGAGTTCCATCTCTAGTCCCTCCTCTAGTCACTTCTCGAGTTCCCTCTCCAGTCCCCTCTCGAGTTCCCTCCTCTAGTCCCTCCTCTAGTCCCTCCTCTAGTCCCTGCTCTAGTCCCTCCTTTAGTCCCTCCTCTAGTCCCCTCTCTAGTCCCTCCTTTAGTCCCTCCTCTAGTCCCCTCTCTAGTCCCTCCTCGAGTCCCCTCTCTAGTTCCCCTCTCGAGTTCCCTTCTCTAGTTCCTCCTCTAGTCCCTCCTCTCTCCTCTAGTCCCCTCTGGAGTCCCCTCTCTAGTTCCCCTCTCGAGTCTCCTCTCGAGTCCCCTCTCGAGTTCCCCCTTGGTTCCCCTCTCGAGTCTCCTCTCGAGTCTCCTCTCGAGTCTCATCTCGAGTCCCCTCTCGAGTCACGTCTCAAGTCCCTACCCAATGTCCTGGTCCGTTGGAGGTTCTGCCAACTCCATGTCCTGTCCCGTTGGAGGCCCCGTTGACTACTCCTCTGCCAGGGGTCCTACCAATCGTATGTCTGTCCCGTTGGAGGTCCCGCCGTCTACTCTCCTGCCGGGGGTCCTGCCAGCTCCTTGTCCTGTCTCGTTGGAGGTCCCGCCGACTACTCTCCTGCCGGGGGTCCTGCCAACCCTTTGTCCTGTGCCGTTGGAGGTCCCGCCGTCTACTCTCCTGCCGGGGGTCCTGCCAGCTCCTTGTCCTGTCTCGTTGGAGGTCCCGCCTACTGCTCTCCTGCCGGGGGTCCTGCCAATCCTGTGTCCTGGTCCTCTTCCGTGGGGGATCCTGCCGAGGCCTGTCCCACCAGCTCCGACACCGGGTTCTGCCCGGCCTCCGGCGCTGTCCCATCAGCGCCTTCCTGCCCGGCCTCCGGAGCTGGCTGGTCTTCGCCCTCGAGCCCGGCCCTCTGAGAGCCCGGCCCTCTGAGAGCCGCAGTCTTCACCCTCGATCCCGGCCCCCTGAGAGCCACGGCCTTCGCCCTCGAGCCCGGCCCCCTGACTTTCCCGGCCACGGCCCTCGCCCTCATGCTCGGCCCCCTGAGTTCGCCCGCGGTGGCCTTCGCCCCTCCATAACCCCCACCTTGGACTCTGTCTTGCCCCCGGGCTATCCGCCCGAGTCCCCCTTCTCGGCTTCTGCCTTGCCCCCGGGCCGTCCGTCCGAGATCCCTTCCGGGTCCTCCGCGGTGCTCTTGGGTTGTCAGCCCAGACCCGTCCTCCGGACACCCTCCACCCACCCTGGTGGCCCTAGTTTTGTGTCCCTCCTCCGGTCCCCCTCCACCCTGCTGGACATTGTTTTTTTTGGGGGTTTTTTTTACGTTTATTGGACTGTTTTGGTATTTTAGGGACGTCTGGAATCCGTCCCTTGAGGGGGGGTTCTGTTACGATTATTGTGTTATGTCACGTTTTGTATGTCTTGTTTTGGGTGTTTTGCTGTTCTCCCTGTCGTGTTTTCCTCTGTGTATTGTCTGGTCCTTTTCTCTGTGTTTTTCCTCCTGTCGTTAGTTTCCCTGGTGTGTCTAGTTGTCTGATTGTGTTCACCTGTGGCCCTTGTGTTTCTCCTCCCCTGCCCGGCTGTTTCTCGTGTTGTGATTACCTTTCCCAGTATTTAGTCTTGGCTCTTCCTGTGTTCAGTGTTGGTTCGTCTTTTGTTGGTGACTGAGTTCACCGGGGAGTGTTCTGTTTTGTCCGAGTTTTATTCATATCCTTGAAATAAAGGTGTTATCAGTTTATTCTGCATTTGGGTCCTGCCTGCTTCACTCTACCGTAACAAATGGTCTGTGGTTGCTCGGCTGTGGGAGTTTCAGATGCAGGTTGATGGGAAGTGGAGCTCTCTGTAATGCAGGTTAAATTACAGTTTTTGTCCAAAAAAAAAGGTTTGTCTAATGTATGTGGGTTTTTTAATTGATATATATATATACTTAAAGGTAGGGTATGTAATTCACTTCAGAAACACTTATATTATATAATATATATATATATATTATATGTTATATTCCATGGAATGCTCTTAACGTCCCGATAGCAATGAATAGCTAAAGTGCTTTGACAATAAATACATACAATATCTCATCTCTGGAAGCCGTAGCGCTGTAAAAAGCACGACCAATCATCTGAGCCGGCCCGGCTAAAATAACTGGATGGCCTACCTGCCTGTCAGCCTTCCATCTGTGCACAAACTTATCTTGTGCCCTCATTGGTCATGTGCGCGTTCATGTGTGTTGGAGGAGGGGCTCTGTAAGGAAGTGGCAGATTTCTTTCGGCTGTGTACTTTCAAATTCTAGCGCACTCGAGCTGGTTTCTCCAATCTTACCTACCCCACCTTTAACACAATCTTTTGAAAAATAAAATACTCTTACCCTTTCTCAAGAGGAATTCATAACACCTCTGCATTTTCTCCAATAGGGTTTTGTTGGTAGGAGTGGGGGCAGATGGGTTATTATATTAGCAGCCCACCTATTTGACGCCCTATTTGGCTTGCCATAAAGTAGAATGGGCTTGTCGCCTACAGCCTCCAGTTTCAGCACCTGAAATGAACAAAAGCATTTGACACAGATTTGTTTGACCCGCTACCTTAAACCCATTAATACTGTTTATTTTTGGATTATTATACAAGCAAAATGAAGGTATCTTGCATTGTGTAAGACTAATTGTTATTTGCATGCGAGGGCTAAGGTACACCTGCTGGTTCTGCCATTGCCTTCATTACAGCAAAATCATTGTTTTACAAAGAACAATACGCATTGTTGCTCTTTTTTTTGTACCAAAAACACTGTGTGGGACTCTAATAAAATATTTACAACATATAAACATCACAATCACACAAATGGGTCAAAGAGGTAAATACGATCACTGTAAGATGTAACATCTGACAATAAGACTATCTTTTCAAAGGCCTGATCATAATGTACTAATATTTTTAGTATGTTAAAAAAGGGAGTTTCAATTCAATTGACAGAAACTTATGAAATATTTGTACTTACTGCAATACGGGCAGAATCAAGTATACGTCCAACATTTCTGTTTTTCACCACACCTTGGCCCCATTCACTATCCAGTGATGCCACTTTTTCTTTTAGTTTTGTTTTGGTTGACAGGCTTCCGTAGCAGGAACGGCATGTTTTCCTGCTCGCCTGATTTGGAGTCTGGCATGCAGGGCAGGGCCTGAATTTAGGTCGAGTCATGACAAACAAGTGTACAAAAACAAAAACACAGAAAGGGACTAACAACAGAAAGATGGACAGATGAGACACATACACAGGTACACAGACAGAGATACATAGACAGCAACAGAGATAGGACAATTTCACAACAGCAAGGACAGGGAAACGACGGGGACGTGGCTCTTAAAAGTGCCTTTGTTTTGATGCTATTATAGCTTGTAATGGAGTTTGGCTTTCAGAATAACTTAGAAGAATCTGTTGAGAGAAGAAAAAACAATTAGGAATTGAACACCTTACATTTTAAAGTGGCGATATATTTGTCAAAGAATGAACAATATCAACATAGCATGATTACAAAAAGACAGTTTTGAGCTATGGTAACATAGGTAACTGGAAATACATTATTAATGGAAACCATACAATTCCCTATGACTGTAACCTGTAAGATCTTATCTGACAAATACAGGTCACCTAATATTCAAGGGGCTTGGCATGAGTGAACTTTTATGATTCATTCATTTAATAAATAACCCCATTAAAAACACATAACTGACACATAATAACTACATTCATAAACAATCACAAATATTATTTCATGCAATAACTGGTGTCAGTCGTTTGCCACCTCTTGAATAAAGTTAAACTTCAAAGGCAACATATTCTGTGCTAGCTAATAGCTAGTAGCAGCTAGCTAGCATTCTGCACATTAGTAAGTTATACTTTATTTTTTTAATGTCTTAAAATGATTTACAGGCAAAAAAGACGACTACCCTGCACTTGCAAATGTTCCAACAATGACTTATTGGGCCGACATAAGGCTGTTTGTGCTGAATATTGAATGATTTTCTTGATTTCTGTCACATGTTTGTGGTGCTTCTTACCTGCTGGAAATGTGCTTTAAAATTGTCGCATAGATGACGTCACACGTGCGCGCCGAAAACAGACCCGATCCGTCCCCCTGCCCGATCTGTGCCATACATGTTTGCATACATTCACAGTAAATATTTATTCAGCATGATAGCTGTCTAACAGAAGTTAAATCCATTTCTCACTTATTCTGACAATGTACTTAACCCAAATAAAAGAACCCAATAAAAAGAGTTGTTAAATAATAGTGAAGTCACGTTGTAATAACAATAACTCATCTCTCTCGAGTTTTCTTTTAGAGCTTTGCCAAAAGCCACTGTGTCAAATGTCCTTCTTGGGTTGCCGTCCAGAGACCATCTCGCACATAGTACAGATCGGGCAGTGACAGCTACGATTACATTCATTTCTATAAAAGCCGGCCAAAAAAAGTTTCAGGAAGACTGATCATCTGTACAAAAGGTGATTAGTCATGCCATGTTAAATGTGATGGATTGAACAATCAGACACAATTGTAGAACAATTTCTGGCTATATTACGTACATCCATGTAAATAATTCATTACCCAGCATGCATCATCTCAACTTCACATAAGAGAAAAAAATGCCTATAAGCCTATTATTTTTGCCTAACTGTCACCGAGGCCTATCACAAAGTATGAAAATGACAATTTTGTCATTTTTTATAAACTATATATAAAGATCATAATGTGTTGCAATGACGTCTCGCACCATACGCTTCAGCTGAGAACGGAATGCGCTCGTTGAATTTCGATGCAGCGGGGAGCGTTCTCATGGCGTCTATTATCAACGCTATGGGAGGTCTATGAAGGTATATGGGATGCCCTGCCCGTTGAAAACTGACGCTCAAGGGGTACCCTGTGCGTAATGGTGTGACGGGGAGGGGCCCTGACAGTCCGTCAATATGTGATGAGTTGGGAGTGAGAACGTGTTGTACACACTCTGGATTCATGGAGGACAAATGTTGTTCTCCACAACCAACAGATGAAATACAAAACTAAAATAAGAACAGCAGTGTGTACCTCGCTCATCAGGGGGGGTGCTGACTCCTGCCACCAACTCCTTGGTCTCCACAGCCAGTTGGAAGGCGGGGTCAGGGAGGGGGGAGGGGGTGTCGGTAGCTGTAGAGGACCAGCTGCTCCTGAAACACATCACACACACACAAACAGTGCTTACAGAGCTGTGGGACATGACGCTAAGATGTAGAGCGGCAGATGTTTTTGGTCTTCATCCTTCTGGGCCTGTCTGCTGCATTCAACACAGTGAATCATCAGATCCACCTTCGCACTCTCCAAGAACTTGGAGTTTCAGGCTCTGCACTTTCCCTCCTCACCTCAAAGACCGTCCGAGTCCGACCCTTGTCAATTAACTACAGGGGTACCTCAGGGCTGTGTCCTCGGTCCCCTCCTCTTCTCCTTTTACACAAACTCGCTCGGATCTGTCATTAGCCCGCATGGTTTTTCATACCATTGCTACGCTGACGACACTCAATTAATTCTGTCCTTTCCCCGCTCAGAGACCCAGGTCGTCGCACGCATCTCTGCTTGTCTAGCTGACATCTCTCAGTGGATCTCTGCTCACCACCTCAAGCTCAACCTTGACAAGACTGAACTGCTTTTTCTTCCGGGAAAAGATTGTCCCACTCTTGACCTGACAATCAACATCGGCACCTCTGTTGTTTCCCCGACTCAGACTGCAAGGAATCTGGGTGTGATCCTAGATAACAACCTGTCCTTCACTGCAAACATCGCTGCTACAACCCGCTGCTGCAGATACACGCTTTACAACATCAGGAGGATACGTCCCCTCCTGACCCAGAAAGCCATGCAGGTTCTGGTCCAGGCTCTCGTCATCTCACGCCTAGACTACTGCAACTCCCTCCTGGCTGGTCAACCTGCATGTGCCATCCGACCTCTGCAGCTCATCCAGAATGCAGCGGCTCGTCTGGTCTTCAACCTTCCTAAAAACCACACCACGCCGCTCCTCCGCTCCCTCCACTGGCTTCCGGTAACTGCTAGAATCCACTTCAAGACACTGGTACTTGCGTACCATGCTGCGAATGGATCTGGCCCTTCCTACATCCAGGACATGGTTAAACTGTACACCCCAGCACGTGCACTCCGCTCTGCATCAACCAAACGGCTCGCTGCACCCTCGCTGCGAAGGGGACCCAAGTTCCCATCAGCAAAAACACGTGGGTTTGCTATCCTGGCTCCAAGATGGTGGAATGAGCTCCCCATTGAAATCAGGACAGCAGATAGCTTGCACATCTTCCAGCACAGACTGAAAACTCATCTCTTTCGACTCCACTTCGAGCAACAACAAAAAAAACGTATATACTAACTAAGCACTTACATACTAACAAAGCACTTAAATACTAACAAAGGACTGGCTTATCTAAAGCCAGTTGAGTAGCACTTGAACTGTTTTGGCTCTATGAAACCTGATGTACTTACAGTATATGATTCTGTTTTCTTCAAGGTTGTATCTTCTTGGTCGAATGCACTCATTGTAAGTCGCTTTGGATAAAAGTGTCAGCTAAATGCAATGTAATGTCTCTTACCCGCCTTCTCCACCGAACAGGCTGGGTGTGGTCAGCACTTTGTGGACGTTCTGAGGACAGAGAAAATGGGGACTTACGTGAGGTTCTGTCCCAATATTGTTTGTTCATGAGACACAAAGAGAGAGAGGGAGATAAACTGGGTGTGATGTCAGACCCTGAATGCCAGGATGTAAACCTGACCTGGAGACCCAAGCAGGTCATGTGGCCTCATGAGAACCACTCCAACAAAGATTGGCCCTTACTGGTATATCATTTGTTAGTCTCTATTTCCGTCGTAATTATACTTTTCTCTGAGGCATAGACACAATCTAAGTAAATTAGTCCTGTCCCTTACAGACAATATGTCTCTATTCACAGAAAAGAACAAAACATACTTAATGTTGTGAGGGATTCATTTTGTCTTTACTTAAGATATTTGACCTTTCGGCCTGTTGACGTTTACGACAAAGCCAAAGTCTGTTATCTGTCTTAAGGAATGGGAACTATCAGCTATTGCTGCCATTATCAGTTTTATGACCGGTCAACTCTCGGTCACAAGAGCCATAGAGTCAGATAAAGTGATTCAGTGCCCCCCAGGTGTTCACAGATGCTTTCCCCAATATGGGGGTTGACTCTGAGTGAAGCTAATTAAAGGTCTGCCAAGATGAGAAGGGATTCAGAATTGACATGGCAACCCACCGGTGCAGTCAGAACTTTCTGCTGCTGTGACTTGTGATATGAATTCTCCGGCCGATGCTTGTAATAAACTGCCAGTGTTTGACATCAGAACTTCTGCTCGTCCCGTGTCTCTCTGAGTCCTGACTCTCCATTGCTTCAGAAGTTTCCCTTACAAATTGGCGTTGTCGGCAGGATACCAACACATCTTCAGAGACTGGTAAGTGTAATTTTAAATCCACATTTGGACATTGCCTTACCAGAATCTGTGATTGACGGTATCCTAAAATTACCTGTGAAACTGAGCGGTTGTGTTTCATTTTTGGTTAATGAACATTTGGCTGATTGCCTCTGTGCATGCTGCTTGGGACGAAATTACCATACAAGCATGCACAGCTTATGTTCAGAGTAACCTTAAAGAGATACATCAGTTAAGTGGAGCTTCTGTATGAAAGCAATGTAAAGATTTGTATTGGACAAATCGCCGAATTCTGGGGGTTTCAGCGGCCAAATACAGCAGTTAAAAATAAGCAGCCAGAGATATTCCCCCCATCGCCTCTGTCAGCACGGCTCCAGCAGCAGCCACGGGTGTGTGTGTAAACATCCCCCCGTGTCTGGGTGGCTGCAGCCGTGCAGCTGAGAGGAAGAAAGTCACAGTTTCTGTCTATATCTTTAACTCACACCACCGCCATCTCTATTAAAAACGAGATGGTCTAAAAGCACTCATTGTCTGTGACCATCTTCTGCATTGCTGGTAAGGCTGGGGCAGCATGAGGTGCGTGCATCACCTGATGCGCCACAGCTCTCTACTCTGCTGGAGGAACATTTCCTACGTTGCTTGGAAGTGTTGCCTACGTTGCTGGACCAGCTGGTGGCGATCCGGGGTGCATACATACAAATTATAGGCTAATTGTACACAGGTGAACAGTGGCAAGCAAGAGTGGAACAGAAGCTGTGTTTCACCGTTGTGATGAACTCGATGGCGGGTGTATAGGCTGGTCGTGTAGGACTACAATTAACTGTGCTGTTTTTGGAGAGAAAGGGTAGAAAAAAAGTCTATGTTCTCCTGGTCGGGGGATCATAGCGCCACTAACTAGTGGTGTCGCAAGAGGATAAGCTAGTTATCGCTTGTGGACGGTCTTCAGGCACGATCTTAGCACTTGTACAAGGGTGGATGCGCGAATAGGTGCTCCATTTCTATAATTCCCTACCCCCTCTGAAACCTTTTAATTCGGACTAAATTGAGCTGAATGAACTTTGCTGTCACGCTGGTGTTTATTGTGAGTTCATGTTTGTTTGTCTAATTGTTTCTATATTGGTTTGCCTACCCGCCGTCTTGTGTATGCTTTGTAACAACTAATAATGAATCAGTCCATAGCCAGGGTAAAATGAACTAAACTTTAGTTATCTCACCAAAAGTAAATGACTTGAGAAAAATAAATAACGTAAAGATGTAAAGCAAAATTATACATTGTAGTATAAATGTGCTGCAAAATGAACATAAATAGCAAAAGACTGTTTTTATGTCCTGCATCTGTCTCACACCCTGAGACCCTCAGAGGCATCACTGCTGGTCATAAATACCGGCCTGAGGAAATCAGGGTTGCAAAAAAATCTGTCTGCTCAAATAGGTCAATGTTGTATTATTTGTTTCATTTATTCTTAATCTATGTATTGTATGGTAATAATGAATTAAAAAAAACGTAATGTATTGAACACATTCCGAAACAAAGCAGATAAGACAGAACTACATAATTGTGGTTGAAACCTTTTGCGCTGTTGCTGCAAAATGAAAACTTTGTTGATTGTCTATTCCAACTGGCCACTGGAATTGGACAATTGATATAAGTTGAAGTTCAATTACAGTTTTAAATATAGTTTAACATTCTTTATTAAACTGTTTCAAATTATTTCTAGTACAATTGGTCTACAGACATTACTACAATTGTAATAGTTGTTAAACTACTGAGCTTATGAACAATAGAGTAGAGGTAGCTGGTTAAGCCAGGATCAATATATTTGTTGAGGTTTTTATTGTGTACATAATAAATGTGTTTAAATGAATTGAGCAATTTTTAAAGGAGTATAATGTTGCAATCTCTTTAAGATAAGTAATTGCAGTTCCAAGATAGATGTTGTTTTCCCTGGGCCTCTCCTTCACAGGCCCACACAATAAATCATGAGACTTCCAAATCCGAACAGACAGAGATCAGTATCACAAATCCATGAAGGGGTTCTACTTGGCCCAATTTAAATACCATAAAGAGAGTATTCACCCAGCTGTTTTGATTTCTTAAAAAAATTCCAGTCGAGTTTCCTTCGAGTTCAGTCTAAGCTACGAATTGTTTCTTATAAACATTCGCACTGCTGGTTTTAAACCTTGAGCAGACAAGCTGCTCACACACACACATCCCACGCACCCACACATGCACACACCCCCACCCACACCCCCCCACACACACCCCCCCACCCACCCACCCCCACCCACACACACACACACACACACACACACACACACACACACACACACACACACACACACACACACACACACACACACACACACACACACACACACACACACACACACACACACACACACACACACACACACGAGTGTGATGAGTATTTGCCTTATCCACTTTTTGCCTTCTTTAGAGTTATTAGTAATTCAAGATTAATTATTGAATTGAATGTGCTACATAAGATAAAATACTGAAGCTTTGACTTGATCATTTCGTTCACAACATTAGACCTTGTCCTCTCATCTCTACTAAAATAAGATACGTGTGCATGTTTGGGTGTTTTAACACTCCTGTAATGTACCTAGTCTTGTTATCTTTTCATCACAGAGCTGGGAAAATTGTGTATTGATTAGATTCTGATCCGTGCATGTCCAATTTTAACTGACTTTAGTTCTAATGTTAATTTGATTTCAACCCATAAGTAATTATTTAAATTAATTCAACATTTCACATGATGGATTAGTGTTCCACATTTTTCTCACTAATTTGTTTTATGATTAGGCCAATGGTAAAGAGAGACATTGATGACCCTGTGTCCTTTTTGTTAGTACGTGGTTCCATTTTGTCTATGGCCTTGGACGGCTTCACTAAGAGTCACCCAGTTCTACCCTGCTACAGTCCGGCTGAATGCAGTCACAGAGATGCTATGGCTGCTCTACATGACATTAATGGTCTGGTCCGAGAATGGACACCATTCTCTGCTCCCAGAGAGAATGACGCCCCTCAAACTGAACTTTACAGCCGTTGAAAATGTCTCACGTGGGTCTGCTCCCCCCCATCGAGCCATGAACTGAAAGCTTGACATCTGCTTTGAACACTTGGAAGCCTCATTGTCACACCAGCACCAACCCTTGGGTCAGTCAGATGAGACTAATGGCTTCACTTAGGGCATTTGGGTCAGACACATGACTCTCGTTACCGCAGAGTGGGTTGTTTTTAAGGCTATTCATACTGCTATGCAGAGGATGCCTGTAAGTTGGCAAGCTGTTAAAAGCCCCTACTATTTTTAGTATAGGCCTGATGTCAGGGGCCTCTTACTGTCTACTTCTACATGTATTCACATTATATGGACCATGTTTCCACCTGTTGAAACTAGAGGCTGCACGGAACTCAGGCTACAATACAACCATTTTGTTCTGCTCTAACGATTCAATTTATAAATTCTACATCAAAACAGTTCGTTTTTATTGTTTCCAATGATAACGTCACCTTAAGTGGAGGAATGCAAACCTGTTTTCAAATGTTTTGAATTTGTTTGACATTTCTCAGTAATGACACCTTCAGACGCCCACTATCTTTCATGCTATGCCTTCAGTGGTAACTCAGATGTTAAGGGGGTTGAACCTTTTCCTCCCAAATCGGCTATGCTTTGTTTTTTCAACAACGGTGTGCATTTCCTGCATAATATATGTTTCTCACAATTGTTTTTGTTAGCTGCGCACAGGTGATACTGACTCTTCTCGAGGAATGGATTATGATCTATACCATGCTTACATGGACTCGTATGTTTTATTTCATATCTAACAGAAGTAAGAGAGAAAGAGATGGGAAAGTAAGAGAGAAAGAGATGGGTAAGTGAAAATAGAAAGAAATGGGGAAGTGAGGAAAGAGGGAGATGAGGATTTTTTTAAATTACATTGCATTTAGCTGACGCTTTTATCCAAAGCGACTTACAATAAGTAAGTACATTCAACCAGGAATACACAACCTTGAAGAAAACAGAATCATATAAGTTGAGGATGAGAGAGATGAGGAAGAGAGAGGGATGAGAAAGAGAGAATAGAAAGAGATGGGGAAGTGAGGATGAGAGGGAGATGAGGATGAGAGGGAGATGAGGAAGAGAGAGGGATGAGAAAGAGAAAATAGAGAGAGATGTGGAAGAGAGGGATAGGAAAGAGAGAAGAGATATTTGCGAGTTGCATACTGATATTGAGTCTTCTCGATTAATAGCTTATATAGACAATACCATGTTTAAATAGACTCCTAAGTTATTATTTCATATGTGACATATGTAAGAAAAGGGAGGGGAGAGTCAATTATATTGAGTAATTGATTTCATATTGGAACATTCATTTCTCAAACCTATGTTTTATGGAAGAGGAAATGTACTTCTGATAAACTAATCTTTTATCAAATGGTAAATGGTGAATTAATATAACATTTAGAATCATTGAGAAAGGGTTATTCCACAGGGACTAGCTCACATTTAACTTAAAATACAATTTCTCTACTTTGGACTGATCAGTATATGATTCTTGCATGTTAAATGACTAACACAAACCTTACATTTATGCATGTGCATGTGTCAGGAAGGCTCCCAAATAATTCTGAGGGGCCTATCCTATTTTTGTAATTAAATGATAATGTGCTAATCCATTACCTTTGAGTTGTCTGCACTCAGGAAAACATCCCTATCAAGTGTTACCCAATAACTAGGACAGCTCTGAAGGCCAAGGGTCAGAGAGAGAGGGTCACACTCTCCGGCTGCAGAGGGCACCCCTATCCACGGGCAAGGAGGCACGAGGTCGTTCGAGATGAGAGGATTCTAATCTTCAACTTTCTGAGGAGATGGGATGCTTCTTCATCTTTCTGCTCGGTGGGCTCAGGCAGACAACTCTGCAGGACGAGCGAGGACTTCAGAGGCTTCATACAAGGTTCCTTGTTTCTTGGAGGGGCAGATGTCTTCCTAACCTCTCCCATCACGGGGGGGGGCATCTGGATGTGCCACTTGGAATAGGCTCTGCTCTCAAGCAGATAGCAGAAGGAATGCAGGCAGATGAGCCTCCGTTTCACTGGGGGATCATACAGTGCTCACTAATGAGCCACAAAAGCAGAGCAATTGGGGGGTGAAATATGGCGCTCTGAGGAAGAAGAGTTTTGAGCCAATCAGCACCTCAGTGCTAATCTACAGTATCAGGATGCCTTTACACACCAGACATTCTGTGTCATAAAGAGAGGAGGAGAACGAGTCAGGAGGACAGGTTCTTCCAGCCCTCGTACAAAGATAACATTTGAATTGAATGACCAGATGTTTACAGATGTACAATTAATGATAGTTCTTATATTTCCGATGAACAGACATGTGTTAAATAGTGGTGATAAATATATTTTGTCAGATCAGATTACACTTTCACACTAAACAAAATAAATTAATTAATATTTTCAGATTATAAATGTATTGAACAAAAGATATTTCTAATATTATAACAGATAATGTTAATATCCTTAATTGTCCAGCAATCAGGCTTAACAACACTACTCTTCAATGTATTATCCATGCACAGAAAGACCTAAAATGATGTTTCAAGTTTTAAACACTTAATCCTTCCTTTCCAGGTTTTTACAAAAGTCTTTGAATATTTGCCTAACTTTTCCTTTTCAGATTGTTAAACATTTTGAGAATTGTTTAGTTCTCCCTTCAGATTTTGAAATGACATAAGGATTGATAGTTGAAGTAATGTAATTATGTTATCATGCCATAGTCTTTTGATTTAATATGTAATGAAGTAAACGGTAAGTAATCCTGAATTGAGGACACTGTAACTTTGCAAATTACGAATTGATCAAATCACCACTGTGAATTGTATACCTTAACTGTTATTTTATACTTCACCTGGATCTCTTATGATCCTATGTTTTAAATGCATTTGACTGTTCATTGCCTTAAACTAAATATTTAAACTGCAAGCTGGTTTTGATTTTATAGTTTGATAAGTGAGATTAACTAATGGTTAAATGTTAAAACATATTATTTTAAAGAAGATATTTTTGCTATTATGCGTCTGTGTTTTATGTGCGTTCATTATTTTGCTTTTGACAACAGATGATCCAAACATTGATGAGAGATGATTTTCTATCGTGATTGTCTGTGTCAATCATTGTGGTTGAATGTTTCAGTCTTATTCTACTCTGTGATGTAATTGATGTACGGTGAGACCACACTCAAATCTGAAGACGCCTATTGATTTAATTATTGACCAAATTATTATTAGACTAATGTTTTCAGGTTATCAAAGATGATAAAAAGAGAGGAACTGTGAGGGATTAATTTAGTCTTTACGACGAAGCCAAAAGTCTGTTATCTGTCTTAAGGAATGGGAACTGTCTGCTATTGCTGCCATTATCAGTTTTATGACCGGTCAACTCTCGGTCACAAGAGCCATAGAGTCAGATAAAGTGATTCAGTGCCTCCAGGTGTTCACAGATGCCTTTCCCCAATATGGGGGTTGACTCTGAGTGAAGCTAATTAAAGGTCTGCCAAGATGATAAGGGATTCAGAATTGACATGGCAACCCACCGGTGCAGTCAGAACTTTCTGCTGCTGTGACTTGTGATATGAATTCTCCGGCCGATGCTTGTAATAAACTGCCAGTGTTTGACATCAGAACTCCTGCTCGTCCCGTGTCTCTCTGAGTCCTGACTCTACATTGCTACAGAAGTTTCCCTTACAAATGTCAAATTCTGTTCACTTTCTTTTAGCTTCAGGTCTCACAAGTCCTGAAAAAGCTTTGTGGAAAGTTCTTACTGTGAGAGTTAACCCCTAGAAACATTCAAATGGATGGTGAGCTAAGCTCTGAATATGGCCCTGTGTATCACAACAGCATTGCCTGTAGAGTCAGGGTCCCTGATCAACTAAGCTTTCAGTAGAAGAGAAGACCAGACTGTCCACATGTATGACTCATATAGATGGAACACTGTTCTATCTAATCAAGACATGAAAACCTTCTTGGAAAAACTTGGACCTTCAGTAAAGAGCTCATTCTGCCTCCTCACAAGTGGCAGAGAGCTGCAGTGTGTCCCCCAGCCACTGGGCAGCTCAGGAGACTGGCAGCACAGAGAGATTTAAAAAAGTCATTTTATTAGCTGTTTCTGAATCCAGTGTATGTGTCCTATTGTGCAGTGATTATGGGGTGATTCAGAATGCATGCTGATTGTCATGGAGGTTTTTCCTATGTTAGGACAGGGGCCTATTAGCTCAGTAATGATGAATTATCATTGGAGTCTTTTCAATAGCTTTTGGACAACAATGAAGCTCTATGGCACAGATGAAGAACATATGTCCAGTTTGGGAGAAATCCTATCCTTTCAATACAAAATGAACACTGTTGTTTCTGGTTAGGGTCAACATACAGTTGTATTGCGAAGGTGTCCAGTTGAAGGTCTGACCTGAGCGAAGCCCAGCAGCTTCTTGTTGGAGACCTCCAGGTGTTTCCTGCTCAGCTCAGACTTCCTCAGCTGGCCGTCGATAGAAGTCATCCTCCAGTTGAGCTCCTGCACATCCTCCTGACACACACACACACACACACACACACACACACACACACACACACACACACACACACACACACACACACACACACACACACACACACACACACACACACACACACACACACACACACACACACACACACACACACACACACATTATTGTATAGTTGAGTTTTGACAGCATCCATCAAACTAGATTTGTTACCTTAATGGTCTGTTTTCTAATATTTCTGTGTTTCTGAACCACGTCTGTGTCTGCATATAATGTTATTATTTAGTCTGCTGATTTTAAATGGGAATTCAATCATTTGAGTGTTCCCAACAACCGGTGTTCTGCAGTTTGTGTGGGCCTACTGTACTGTTGCACAGTTTACTATAGAAACTATGTCCAGGACAAGGTACACACACACACACACACACACACACACACACACACACACACACACACACACACACACACACACACACACACACACACACACACACACACACACACACACACACACACACACACACACACACACACACACACACACACACACACTATCTACCATTGAGGTCACCGAGGTCCGGACCTCGGTAATATTTTCCGAGCTGTGTATAACTAACTGTTTTCTTTTTACACTGACTCAGATATAATGAAAAGACTACGTTAGTCGAAGCTCAGCTTTGGAAAGGAAGAGACAGGACAGGCAGAGAGAGAGAGAGAGAGAGAGAGAGAGAGAGAGAGAGAGAGAGAGGAGAGAGAGAGAGAGAGAGAGAGAGAGAGAGAGAGAGAGGAGAGAGAGAGAGAAGAGAGTGATGGAAGTCTGGGAGGAACATAACAAAAATAATGTAGGCTTAATAACCCCATCCATCTATTTATCTATCTGTGTATCTATAACAATAGTGTTCATTTACAATAGGCATCATTTTAAAACAACATACATCTATTGCAGTTATGATGTCATAACATACAATTGTATAAAACACCATTTGCTTACATCTTTGCTCTCTTTTGAGAATCAAACAAAACAGATTTAAATAAAAAAAGAATGCAAACAAACAAGTGAAATAAACTAAATGTTTGAATTGCTTTTAATTCACTGGCAGGAGCGACAAGTGAGGAGGAGCAAAAAGTGAACAACGAGGGAGAGATTGAACAAAGAGAAAGAGTAGAGGACAGAGAGAGTAATGAACAGGAAGAAGACAGAGAGACTAAAGAAGATGGAAGAGAGGCTGCAGGTTATGGAAAGGAGAGAGACATGGAAAGTGAATGTTGACAATGTGTTGTGATCATTTTAGCCTCTTCTGCATGTCCAGATCATTAATGGTAACAATCAACTGATTCTTATGTATTACACTTTCAAAAAGTATTGATGCTGACATTGTCAGCCCACTGACTTGGTTTGAAATCAATATATTATCCAATTTGTGACCCCCCCCAGGACTTAAAAAGCACCTAACTAGATCATGAAAATCCCAAAAATCTCGGGGGGGTATCCGCCGAACCCCCCTAACATGTTTGGACCTCGGTATTTAGGAAATCCTGGATACGGCCCTGCACACACACACACACACACACACACACACACACACACACACCACACACACACACACACACACACACACACACACACACACACACACACACACACACACACACACACACACACACACACACACACACACACACACACACACACACACTCGTGTCATGTAAAGTTATTTATCAGGTTTATGTTATATGTTTATTATATAGTCTATGTTTAGATTTAGGTTTATGTTACGTCATGTCTCTTTGTTTACATGTTAAGTTTCAGTCACTCACTGTCTGTCATTGCACTTCCTGTTTTATTTTGTACTTACTTTTCCTTCTCGTTTCAGAGCTCTTACTTCCTGCCATTGTGTGTTTTCCCGCCTGTGAGATTGTCTCCCCCCCTTGATGGTTGCCACCCGTGTCTCCTTACCTCTTGTATTAGTCCTCGTCTCCCTTTGTCCTGTGCCAGTTCGTCTTGTTTCATGTTAGTCTAGAGCAGCGGTTTTCAAAGTGTGAGGCGCGCCTCCCCTGGGGGGCGCCAGAGAGCTTCAGGGGAGGCGCGGCGTGAGAAAAAAAATAACGAGAAAAAGACGAGTAAAGTGACACTTGCAGACTTTTGGCTGTCTGTGGAGACCGAGTTCCCCCACCTCGCCAAAAAGGCTGTAAAAGTGCTCATTCCCTTCACCTCCACCTACCTGTGTGAGTGCGGGTTTTCCGCATTGACTTTGATCAAAAGCAAGTGCCGGTCAAGGCTGCAGACAGAGGATGATCTGCGTTTATTCCTGTCTACATTGCATCCCCGCATCATCCGCCTGTGCGCATCAAAGACGCAGACTCATTGTTCCCACTAAAGTAGGGGTGAGTGTAATGAGGAGGCAAAGTTGACGTTCAGTGTGTTGCCGGGAGCATATAAGGATGTATCTACGATGTTGAAAATGTTAAAAATGTTTAAAAAATGTGTTGAGAACACGTGTGTGCGAAAATGTACGGGTCGTGCTGCAGCTAGATTTGCCTGTCCTCCGTAAGAAGGTGTCGGCGACTGACATGCAAGGAAGAACGGCTGTCCACAGGCTGTTCCAACTTTAACAACTGTATTAACTTCCAGGGCAGTGAATTGAACATGCAATTGTAATTGGGTGCGTGGTATATTTTCATGCACGGACACGCATGTTCCACAACACACAAACTGAACATCACTCAATTGTCCGATCGCTAGTCGCTACCACTGTCCTTGCGATAACAACAAGTGCACGTTACTGATACAATATGGTTAAGACCATTCGGCCTTATTCTAGAGGGGTGCAAGCAGGGGCGGCGGGTACTGTAGGCTAGGGAAGGCTAAGCCTTCTCAAATATTTGTGTCACTGCATCCTGGTAAAATACAAATATAATTTAGGCCTATAATGTTTGTGTCTTTGACATTAGCGCTGCAATGCAGCCACCAGTAAACTGTACTACGGAGCCAGTTCAACAGACCCTGGATATGTTTGAGTTATCTTAACTAACCCCAACAAACGAGATCTCGCTAAGCGGTCCTACGACGCTGGTTATCAACTCGGTAAATCAACCAGGGTTTCTCTCTCCAGCTGAGAGCAACATCATACTTCATTAATGAAAATTAAACTAATATTAGACAAATATGAACTTTAAACATCCATGACTTAAACATATAATCCAGGATACAAGCCACATAGTTGCACCTGCAAGGTGAATATATAACAATGTAAGTGTTGCACGGCCAGATACGGCTGGAGAAGCTGACTCAGATAAGGAAATATATGATATTATATGATCGATGATCTGATTGATGATGTGACATCAGTGTGATATGAATGATAAGTGCGACACGTCGGCGTCTTCTCTGCGTACGGCAGTTTAAACTGCATTTCCTTTTTCCTGTAATATGACTTGATAGATTTAAACTCCGCACACTGAGCTCTGATCGGTCAGCAGGCGGTGCTTTCACTGAGTTGTTGATCTCTTTTCTATAGACGCCGGGGGCGGGCAGCGTCAGGTAAAAAAAAGAGTTATTTAGCCTTCCCAAACCTGAGCCTCACGCGCCGCCTATGGGTGCAAGGAATAGTCCAAGTAGTGGGGGAGTTTTATACAATATGTTTAAAACATAAAGATGAAAAGGTTTAAAAAAGTTATTGTATAATGTTTTAAGGAGGTGACGCTACTCAGCCAATCAAATTGGTGCAGTCAGTGAGTCAGCACGATAGATTCAAACACACACACACACGAGACAAGAGGAGAGAAACAGTCTTCATTTGCTCTTACTGGACCTCTTTGAAATGCAATTGAATACCCCTGCATTATAGCAACAACAACAATAATAGCAATAATAATTGGGAGGGGGGGGGCGCGGCTGTTCTTATGTTCTCTGAGGGGAGGCTCACCTTCCCACACTTTGAAAACCCCTGGTCTAGAGAGTCCGCGTTTGAAGACCCTTTCAGTTATTTCTCATAGTCAGTTTATTTAGTCTTTGTTTTTGCAGTTAAGTTTTTGCTAAGTTTTTCCTCTAAAAGAGTGATTTTTGGTATTTTATTCTTTTATTAAAGACTTTCTGAGTTTTTAACTTTGTCTTGAGTCGTGCATTTGAGTCCAAGTATTGTGTCTTGTTCCTCACAGAGACTGACCTTAGTGGACTCCAGAGACTGACCTTAGTGGACTCCAGGCTCCGGGCTGGCCTCTTGCAGGCCACCTGGTTCTTCAGGTCTCTGATCTCAGCCTCCAGTAGCTGGATCACCTCCTCGTAGTCCTGCTCGGCGCTGCTGGGCTGTCGCTGCCCCCCCGCCTGTCCCCCAAGCCGCTGCTCGGCCTCTGCCTCGGCTGCCTGCAGACGGCTCTTCAGACGGGCGTTCTCCTCCACAGTCAGACCTGCTTTCTGTGGAGGACAACAGAATGGTAAATACATTCATAATGGTAAATATAATGTATTATATAACGCTGTACAGTCTTTACCACCTCTAAAACACTTCTACATCATTCAGCATTCACTCACATTCAGGCTCCGTTTACACGAAAGTCCTGACACGAAAACGAACAGAATTCAATATCAAAAAAGTCTTCCGTCCACACGGAATCAGCTAAAGAAACGTGTCCGTTCACACGAGACCGCTCGACCCGCTGGAGACGCTGTAGTATATATGCCGGGCCTGTAAGTGACACTGTACTTGAAGTACTTCCGCCACAAAATACACCAAAAGCAGCGAATAAGACCCTCCCGAGCATGGTTGCCATGGTTGCCCTTCTGTTTATTCTCCGTGGTGGATTTAGCAACATGTAGTTCATGTAGTTCTCCATGTCCACTTGTTGCTGATGGTTGTGGTAGAGGAGCTGTATATTTAGGTGAGCAGCAGAGGTGGGGAGAGGCAAGGCTCTGGCTGTTTCGCAGGCCTCTTTTTTCCCCAGTCAACATGTCCGTTAAAGTTGAAATCTTCCGGACAAAATTAGAAAAGTGCCGGTCAAAGGTCTTCTTTGTTATTTATTGAGCTTTAAAACTAATTAATAACGACTATATAATAATATAATAATAACAAACGGAGCCTCTCTCTTCCTCCCCCTCTCCTGACAGCCCGTCAGTATCCGTGGTCTCATGCAGCTGGCTGATCCAGTAATGAGTGACCCGACAGTCAAAATAAACATATTTATAACTAGTTTAGGTAGTTTGAGAGGTCATTAAAATAGCTAAATGTGATGATCTAACTTGAAGTGTGTGCTTTGTTCCACTCATCGCTCCATCACAGCGGGCGGAGCTGCAGGTGATCATGCAGAGCTGCGTGTCTCCCATGAAATGCACCACCTTGGGACCCATTATCGTTTGAGGGCTCCGTTTCCGCGGTTCCGTTACGGCCTCGTGTGAACTAACCGTCCATACTAGGGGTGTAACGGTTCACATAAGTCACGGTTCGGTTCGTACCTCGGTTTGGGGGTCACGGTTCCGTACGGGTTCGGTACAACAAGAAAAAGCAAAACAAAGTCCCAAATGCATAATTCCAGGTTTGTTGTTATTTATTTTGAACAGTAGTGCAAGTTTCAGTTTAAAAATAAGGAACTCTGACATTTTGAATAATTAACTGAATTAAACAGTTAAAAACAAATCACAAATAGAACCACACACACTCAGATGGCCATATTATCTATAATGGCTGATGTCAAACAAAAAGGTTTGATCAAGCTGTAAAACTAAAAAGAATGTCTTGAAAATATTACAAAATAAATAATAAGAAAGTGTTTCAAGAGCGCATAGCCGTTGAAAAACATATGCCAAAAGCTTCCGTTATTTATTTTGGTCTTTTGGCTTTCATGTCCAGGGCCGCCCCTGGCCAACTTGGGGCCCCAAGCGACATTGTGAGATGAGGCCCCCCCCCCCCCCAACCAACAGGAGTGAAAAAAAAACATTTTGGAAACAAAGTAGGCTACTTTGCAAATATAATTCCTGTTTATTATTATTATCAACACTTTTTTATACAGTGAGGTAAATGGCAAATGTGCATGTATGTCGTTCAGTATGCGTTTACAGGTGAATACGTCTGCATTTCCTGCCAAATACTAGCCTCAAAAAGATTAAAATATAATTAATGCAAATAAACTACTTCTACTAATAATAATAATAATCATAATCAATTCAATAATATAAATACTATATTATTTTATTATAATATAGTTGTAATATAGTCAAGACAAAACATGCTTATGACATGCTCAAAACTGATATTTCTTAAATCTGTATTCAAATGTAGTTCCCTCTGTCAGCAATGTATCAACAACCACATACACATTTCTATCAGTATTTCTGTGTTGTGGTTGACATGATGATGACTGTTAGGAGTTAAGGGGAGAGGCTGAGCATCACCATGAAATGTGCAAATTGACATAAAAATGAATATAAGGGGGGAAAATGCTCCATGTTTTTTAGGCTGTAAACTTTAACTGTTATGTAAGCTAACTAGACAGACAGTGTATCACTCTTCCTCCTGTACATTAGCAGATAAAAGGCATAACATACTTGAAGAATGTTAAATAAAGAATGCTGGAAATAACTGCATCTCCATTAGCCTATATGCTCTGCAGAGACTGCCTTCTTCATGTCGTGAATTGCAGCTGATGTTTTAATATGGCAATTGGCAATTTGACTTATACAACATTCGCAAGTTGTACATTTGACTCACACAATAACCCACCTTCGAGTGATGCTCTAGTTTCTTCAAGTTTTGTTTTTTTTCCCTCTAGCTTGCGCCGGACTGAAACTGTCTTTTCACCGACATCTCTTCACCTGCACTAGTGACCGTATCAAAGCCGTGATTGGTCAGATGTCGATTCATTGCAACGGTGTCGGGTTACAGACGTGCTCCCCTTGTCACCTCTAACTCTCCCGTGTCAGCTGGGGGTGTGCGGAGAACTGAGCGGAGAACAGCGCACAGCAGCTGAGGCCCTCTGGGCGGGGCCCCCTGCGCAAGGCGGGGCCCCATGCAGCCTGCGTGATTGGCCTGTAGGGAGGGGCGGCCCTGTTCATGTCTATTGGCTTCTTAAAAACAGCGGGGATCAGCTGTTGAACTGCTGTTGTCTTTTGCCGGGCTCCGGTGATTGGCAAATCTGGGTGATGCCTTCTCATATGATTTAGCATGTTCGGCGTGTGTTCCCATTAGCATACCGCACCGCTATCGAACAACGCCGACACACCGTCCTCGTCCAATCCACCACTCGCACTTCATCGTTATTGTAGTCCACAAGGAACCCGAAATGTTCCCACACAGCTGATTTAAAAGAAGCAGGTGGGTTCTAGCTCCTGTGTGTTATCTGAAATCGCCATACTAACTTTTCTTCTTCTTGTATTTTGTTCGTTTTGTTGTGGTGTTTCTTCTTGTTCTTCATTTGTTGTTTAAGGGCGGCTGGCAAACAGCTTTTAGGCGCAATACCGTCCACCAGGCGCCTTGGGGGACTTCTTGGAGGAATTAGATAATCTCCTCTCACACATCCCTGAAACTGGCCCTCCCGCTGTACTTCTTGGAGACTTCAACCTCCAGACAGGGAAGATAGACGAACTAACTTCTCTGTTAACCACCTTTGCTTTCTCACTGTCTCCATCCCCACCGACTCATAAAGCTGGCAATGTCCTTGATCTCATATTCTCAAGGAACTGCGCTACTTCTAACCTCTCTGTAAACCCGCTCCACACATCCGATCACTTCTTAATTTCATTCTCTCTACCCCTTTCCATACATATCAAACTAATCTCTTCTCATCCTGCACCTGTCTGCCGTAACCTTCGTTCCCTCTCCCCCTCTACCTTTGCCTCATCGGTGCTCTCAGCCCTCCCTTCCTCGGACTCGTTCCAACTCCTACCTCCAAACTCTGCTGCAGAAACTCTCCTCTCTACTCTCTCATCCTCTCTGGACACTCTCTGTCCTCTCACATCTCGGCAGGCTCGTCAGTCCCCTCCTGCTCCCTGGCTAAATGACGCACTGTGTGCTAATAGAACCATCCTTCGGGCAGCAGAGCGGAAACGGTGGAAATCCAAACACCATGACGACCTCCTAACCTATCAGGCTCTCCTCTCCTCTTTCTCTGCTTTGATCTCTCAGGCAAAAAGCACTTTCTTTCAAGATAAGATCCAATCTTCCTATTCCAATCCCAAAAAACTTCCACCCTCCTGGACCCCCCCAAAGCCCCTTCCCCCTCCTCCCTTCTGTCAAGCGACTTTGTTAACCACTTTGAAAAAAAGGTTGATGATATTCGCTCTTCTTTTTCTGACTCACCTTTACTCACCGCTGGGTCACCAGACCCACCTTTCACCCACACACTAACCTCCTTCTCCCCTCTCTCTCCAAGTGAGGTTCCTACCCTCATTACCTCTGCCTGCCCTACCACCTGTCCTCTGGACCCTATCCCCTCAAACCTCCTTCAGACTATTGCTCCTGATATTCTACCATTTCTCACCCATTTCATCAACACTTCTCTAACTTCTGGTCACTTTCCAAATAGTCTTAAGGAGGCAAGAGTAAACCCTCTCCTAAAGAAACCAACTCTCAACCCGTCTGATGTTATAAACTACAGGCCTGTCTCTCTACTCCCGTTCCTGTCTAAAACACTTGAACGCGCCGTCTTTAAACAACTCTCCTGTTATCTCCATCAGAACAACCTTCTGGATCTGCACCAGTCTGGTTTTAAGGCAGGTCACTCCACAGAAACTGCCCTCCTTGCTGTCTCTGAGGAACTGCACACTGCCAAAGCAGCATCCCTCCCCTCTGTCATCATCCTGTTGGACCTGTCTGCTGCATTCGACACAGTGAACCATCAGATCCTCCTTCACACTCTTCAAAAACTTGGAGTTTCAGGCTCTGCACTTTCCCTCCTCACCTCATACCTCAAAGACCGTACCTACAGGGTAACTTGGAGAGGGTCAGAGTCTGACCCTTGTCAATTAACTACAGGGGTCCCTCAGGGCTCTGTTCTTGGTCCCCTCCTCTTCTCCTTGTACACAAACTCGCTCGGATCCGTCATTAGCCTGCATGGTTTTTCATACCACTGCTACGCTAACGACACCCAATTCATTCTGTCCTTTCCCCGCTCAGAGACCCAGGTCGTCGCACGCATCTCTGCTTGTCTAGCTGACATCTCTCAGTGGATGTCTGCTCACCACCTCAAGCTCAACCTTGACAAGACTGAGCTGCTTTTCCTTCCGGGAAAAGATTGTCCCACTCTTGACCTGACAATCAACATCGGCCTTCTGTTGTTTCCCCGACTCAGACTGCAAGGAATTTGGCTGTGACCCTAGATAACAACCTGTCCTTCACTGCAAACATCGCTGCTACAACCCGCTGCTGCAGATACACGCTTTACAACATCAGGAGGATACGTCCCCAGCTGACACAGAAAGCGCTGCAGGTTCTGGTCCAGGCTCTCGCCATCTCACGCTTAGACTACTGCAACTCCCTCCTGGCTGGTCTACCTGCATGTGCCATCCGACCTCTGCAGCTCATCCAGAATGCAGCGGCTCGTCTGGTCTTCAACCTTCCTAAATGTTCCCACACCACGCCGCTCCTCCGCTCCCTTCACTGGCTTCCAGTAACTCCTAGAATCCACTTCAGGACAATGGTACTTGCGTACCATGCTGTAAATGGATCTGGCCCTTCCTACATCCAGGACATGGTTAAACTGTACACCCCAGCGTGTGCACTATGCTCTGCATCCGCCAAACGACTCGCTGCACCCTCACTGCAAGGGGGACCCAAGTTCCCATCAGCAAAAACACGTGGGTTTGCTATCCTGGCTCCAAAATGGTGGAATGCGCTCCCCATTGACATCAGGACAGCAGAAAGCTTGCACATCTTCCGGTGCAGACTGAAAACTCATCTCGTTCGACTCCACTTCGAGCGATAGAATTACTAACAAATAACTGCTAACAGAGCACTTATATACTAATAAAGGACTGGCTTATCTATAGCCAGTTGAGTAGCACTTGAAATGTTTGGCTCTATGAAACCTGATGTACTTATATGATTCTGTTTTCTTCAAGGTTGTGTCTTCCTGGTCGAATGTACTTATTGTAAGTCGCTTTGGATAAAAACGTCAGCTAAATGCAATGCCGAACCGTGACGTCCGAACCGTGACGTCCGAACCGTGACGTCCGAACCGTGACGGTACAGGACGAATACGTATACCGTTACACCCCTAGTCCATACGATAGAGAACTGTAGTGGATACAACCCATTCCGTCTCCGTGTAAACGGAGCCTCAGAGGCAGAGGCTTTCAGAGGGACTAACATTCACACACTCACGCCGTTACAGTCTTATGACATGGCTAAATACTCGATTCTGATTGATCAGTTTGGACATTTCAGAGCTTCTTAATACTTGATGGAGTGCTGGAGAGCCAGAGAAATCAACAGAAAAAGGGAGACAGGAAGTAAACACTAACAGGAACGGCAGAGGAAGACAGACAGGAATAAACACTAACAGGAACAGCAGAAGAAGAAAGACAGGAAGTAAACATTAACAGGAACAGGTTATGGGCTCTGGCAGTGTTTAAAGACTGAGGCCCAATTCCAAATCACACCCTACCCACTCCGTGACGGAGTGAACTCCGTGTCGGAGTGACACTCGCAGCTCAAGGAGGCTCCCTCCTGTCAGATGGAGGGAGTAAATATAGCGGCAAGCTTTGGGACAAACTCCCCTCTCTCCGCCAGAAACAGGAAATGGTTTCAAATCAGCATCTCTTGGACAAAAAATGAAAATGAATAACTAAAAATAAAACTCCAAACATCTTTAATTGTGTTACTTTTTTGTAAAGCTCTTTTAGTTTTAAACCTGATGTTTATAAGCTTCTTAGTTTTTGCAACAGTCTGTAAATATACACAACTTTATAATAAAATGCATAGGTATGACTAAACACTAAATGACTAAACTTGGGATCATACCTGATCCCAAGTAAAAAAAAGACGAGGTTATCATGAGGTTGTTAACATCGCAATTTATCAGTGGATGTTTGCAGGAACTATTTGTAAACAGCGTGTTTCCTGACACACAGCGTTGAGACCGGTCAGGTAGGGCAGCAGGTGAAGTCAGCACCGATGCAGACTCGCTGTTTGAGGGCTTGATAACCCACTCCCCCTCCTCATTCGTTGGTTTGGAACAGCACTTAATGTGGCGGACCTTCCGCACGAACGCGCAAACGAAGGGGTAGTGTGTAGGGTGTAGGGGGTGGATTGGAATTGGGCCTGAGTTAGTGGAAAGGAAACTTGCTGCACATTATTTAAAGTGGACCTATCATGCTATATTGGAAATAATTATTGTAGGGCCAATGGGCCATACCTAGTGCTGCGTACCGGTACGCCGAACCAGTACTGGACTTGTAAAAAGTTTCGGTTCAAGTCCGGTTAAAACCGGAACGTCGGGAACCGGTACTTGGACTTGCAAAAAAACTAGCACTTACGTATATTCTGGTGTCTGTGGTCCCTGATAAACGTTATTTAGCGTCAATAAATGAGTGCTAATCCCAGTGTGCTCAGTGTACAACATCACATGTCATTTCACCTTCGATTCACGGTTTGAAAACGTAGCATTTCGCCACATGCTAATGCTAACCGGAAGTGAAGAATTTTCAGAATAAAAGTATTAAGTTAATAGTGTGAACTTCCGGTTTTTTCAGAATAAAACTGATTTAAATTAAATAGTGTATTTAATTCAAAATGACGCCATATCAACATTGATTTTAATTTCTAACAGTATGCATGTACATCACTATGTATGTAGTATGTACTGTATAATGTACACATGTAGAGTTGTAGAAAATACATGGTGTACAGACAGTACAGTACACTCTGACTGTACAGTCACTACAGTGTAGCCTATACTGTATAGTAGGTGTGTAACAGTGTAATGTGTATAGTCTACTCTACATTCTACCTTTCAGCAATGTTTTAGGGATTTAGGCTCAGTCAGCTCAGGGACTGTTTGGTTACTTTAGTTTGGTAAATGAAATAAATGTTTGAACTTTGTAGTAGTTCACTGTAGTTGCTGTCATAAGTCATTTGTAGGCTAAGTGGCAAAAAGTTGTTTTTTTACATTTGTACTTTGTAGAGAAATGTAGACACAAGTTGGAAGGGAGCACTATAAACCTGACGAGTTTGAATTTGAGTTGATTATGAGTTAATTTTCAATTGATAATTAGCTCACAATAAGTTCACTTTAGTTACTCACACAACTTGACACAAGCCATGGGTTCAGGTCCGGACTTATAAGTCCGGACCTGAACCTGAACCTCTGGACTTGAGTCCGGACCTGAACCTGAATGTGAGTCCAGGTACGCAGCACTAGCCATACCTATATAAAACATGTCTGTGAAGTTTTTTTTTCAAAATACCACCCATTGCCCCATGCCTCATACTGCTCATACCCCTCTTTTGCAGCCCTGTTAGAGAAACGCAGATTTTGGGTCCTTAACTTGAAAAAAATAAATAAGAGGAGGCGGAGCTAATTCTACCGGAAATAAAGTTAAATTCTGCTGTGATAAAACGCCATCCTGTTCTAAACCACATTATTTCTGAAACAGTATGGAGCTCAAAAGCTTTTTCTCTAGCGGGTTTATCACAAGGTGAGTTCTTTTTTTAATTTCCTGCTTTTTAAACACATGTGCTCTCCAGTACAGGTTAGCTCTGAGTGTTAGCGAGGCTTGCTAATGTAAACAAAGACGAGATTACGTCCAAAACACGTCAGGCATTGTTTCTGATAGCAACTTTCTGTGGGTCCGCCGCCGATTTGACGTCAGATCGGCAGCAAATCTGTATCCGCTCGTTGTACCCCGTTTTTAAAAGATTTGGGTACGGAGGAAAAGAGAGAGGGTTTTATTTTCTGACGCTGCGTGAGTTCCCCGACGCACCGGGGACACATATTTATGTATAAAAGACATCACAAAGTGCATTTTGCATGATAGGTCCCCTTTAACTTGAATAACTGTAAAGTTTAGAAGGAATTGTTTGAGTGAACATTGTAAATGTTGCTTGATGCATCATAATAAGTGAGTTTACTTTACATGAGTGAATAATTCTCACAGCATGCACCAGGCTCCAACATGTGAGTCCCCACACACTCCTCACCTCCGAGGTCTTCTGCAGCTCCTCCTCCAGAGTCTTCTTGCTGTGCTCCATGTCCTTCAGCATCAGCTGCACAGAGAGGAGGAGAGCTGAGATCACTGAGCATCAGCTCGGAGGAAATTGCAAAAAATGAGTACATTACAATAGTTTACCTTGAGCTGCTTCATCTGGGTGTGGAGCTGCTTCACCTCTGTCTGAAACTGCTCCATCTCCTCACTGCTGTAGCTGCATTCTGATTCATACGTCTGCACACGCCGAATAACAAGTTATGTGTTTATATTAGGTGAGGATCTTTTCAGTTTTGCTCTTGATCTGATCTGTGTGAGAGCTTACGGGGGAGTGGAAGGCGGACGTGTCCATCAAACTCGCTGCTTCATGATAGGAGAACATGAAGGGATCCGCCCCTAAACCCAGCTCCTCCAGATTCTCTTGGAAGATGTTACGCGTGGCCTCCACGAAGTCTGGGAGAGGACAGACAAGCACAGATACATTGTAAATAAGTACAAATGTTCCTTATGCTATTTATAATGTATGTCAATACTTTTTTGTTTTTTTGCAAAGGTTTTTAGTTTTCACATCAGCAATGCTGATGGTTTTATAGCTTGGAATCCCGCAAAAAACCCTTTCCATTCAAATGTTATTAATCACTACCATCTTAACGCTTCGGACCTATGTGAAAGGTGGCAGTTTTATAACATAGTAAATGTTTTGAATTGGAACAAACCTACTTGGTTAGGTTTAGAAAAAGATCATGGTTGAAAAAAATTAATAATAATTGTACCATAAAAAATGTAAAAAACACAAGTTAACTTTGGCTTTTATACGGGACAGGAAACACCAGTCTCTTACGGTGATGTTCATGTGTTTGGTCACTAGAGGTCGCTGCACAACTGTTTTTAACCTAGTAACCCTCTCTCTGTATCACAGACAGTGAAATGAATCTCAGTTCAAACACAGTTCATCGGTCTGAGACTACCACCTTCTAACCTAATTTATGTTGCCATAGAAACCTACACAACATCACTCCGTAGTTCCCATTTTATTCACATCTATAACTGAAACACCCACATGTTTAAACGTTAATATGTGTTGATGTTGTAAATGGAGCTGCTGTGATCAATATGTGCTCTTTTCAGATTGTATCCTACTATCCTGGAACAGTATCTGGACTTAAGGCCGTGACCAAAGTCAGAAGCAACTCTAGCAAATCTTAGCTGTTATTATATGTTTTGTTTCACTTCCAATACTTTACACAGTACAAACACTAATAGGTATGAACTGATAAACCTGATATTCCTACTCTTAGTATCTACAGAGCTTTCCACTTTCCACAACAATACTGCACATCTTTTCTTTTCTTTTTTATTCGGAGTACTTTGTCATAGTCAGAATCACAAACAGAATCAGGTTTATTGCCAAGTAGTTTCACATATACGAGAAATTTGCCTTGGTGTACATGGTGTAAACATACTGTAAACACAGTTAAAGAAGATACAAAGTAAGAAAAACAAGCACAAATTATACTATATATATATATATTAGGGCCGGGACTTTAACGCGTTAATTAAGATTAATTAATTACACAAAAATTAACGCGTTAAAAAAATTAACGCATTTTAATCGCACTTATTTTTGCACCGCGGAACGTTTCTCACTGGATGAGTTTCAGGCGTACCGATTATACTGGAGCACCAACTAACGTTCATGACTTCAGACAACAACAAACCACAGTGAACAACAGTGGGAAATGTTGTCTTAAAAAACGGACGGATGGAAGCGTCGATAAGAGCACGGTTGTGTGCAAATTATGCAAAAAGGAATTCGCATATCACCGCAGCACATCAAGCCTCAAGTATCACCTCAGTGCAAAACATATAGCAGCTAGCGTGGAAGCTAGCGTGGACGTTAGCCTCTTTTATCGCGTTCACACCATACAGTCTATGGTTCACACCAAAAAGAGCCGGTACTAAAATTAGTTCATGAGAACCTTTTTACCCCCACGAAAGTCCCTGCTAGAGAGCAGAGAGCTGCTAGAGAGCAGGGACTTTCGTACGGCTCTCTTGTGAGAAAAGAGCTATATTTCTGATTGGCTGGGCGGATTGCAAACCACGCCCCGTAAAACTCCCAAAAAGTTTGGTGAAGCCGCCATTTTATTATCCTCGCATTAGCATTATTAGCATTAGCCCAGCGCAGAAACGCAGAGAGACTAACTTATGGCAACACAAAATAAAACATGGGAGCGGTGGAGATGAGGAGGTGTCGGCGTTCTGGCGATTTACTCGGAAGGCTTCAGTAGAAGCTGCTGGGAGTCCCAGCAGCTTCTACTGAAGCCAGTCCCCAACTCCGGGGACTTCCGGCTGGGGACTTTGGGCGGCAGTATACGCCGTGAAGTGGTTTGCGGCCTGCCAGTAAACCCAAAGCAGAAGAAGAAGAAGTGACGTCAGTGGCTTCATTTGTTCTCATGAACTAAGTTCTCATGAACCTTTGTGGGAAAAGTACTGCGGTGTGAATGCGCCTAATGGTATACTAAAATCCATGTGAAAAAAATTGCTTCTCACTGTTCTCAGGTCAAATATTTATATGCGATTAAAAATGCGATTAATTTCGATTAATTAATTACAAAGCCTCTAATTAATTAGATTAATTTTTTTAATCGAGTCCCGGCCCTAATATATATATATATATTATAAGATTATATATATATATATATATATCTCAATGTATAATAGTTTAAGCGTTTTTTTATGACATGGAAAAGAAGAAAAAAAGAGAGAGAGAGAACAAAAATAAAGTCAGGAAAACGGGTTAGTTTCTCGTGCACACGAGAAACGAATCCATTATCCTGACTTTCTTTTTTTTGAGAAAGTTACCGATGCACCAAGGAGGAAGTGGAACACACAGGAGACAACCATTTCATTGCAGACTGTTGTGTTTACGTGGGGAAATTACAGTGCATACAATATTTGAGATATATTTTGAACTGAGACTTAATTTGATGGACATTTCGGCCAGGGGTGTAGTGCTATTTGTTTAAGCACCGGATTGGCAAAACAGGAGAGTCTGTAAACCAGTCTGCTTTGATTGATGAATTAATATCCATGACTCTCAGAGTACCTGCTACCCGCAGCTGTTTTATAGAGAAACAAAAACTCACAACACACACACACACACACACACACACACACACACACACACACTCACACTCACACTCACACTCACACTCACACTCACACTCACACTCACACTCACACTCACACTCACACTCACACTCACACTCACACTCACACACACACACAGAGCCAGTGGCGGACTAGCCATCGGGACGAATCCCAATGGGCCGGTACCGAAGTGGGCCAGTCGGGCCACTCGGCCCACTCCGATCGGGCCACTAGGTCCACCGTTTCCCCGCAGCGAGGCTTCCCCCGTTGACAGTTCACTAGCAGCCCCCCCATTGACAGTTTACGTGGGCTGGGCTGGGTGAGATACCCAGGCTGATTTTTAGTCCCAGTCTGCCCATAATGCGCCCTGGTGACCGGACATCTCCATCATAAAACTAATAAAAGGGGGAGTAATCGGGCAGTTCGATGTGTGTAGAGGTGTGTGTGTGTAGAGGTGGTGTGTGTGGTTAAAACATAACAGCCTGTGGTCACTCTTTATAGCTGTTCAATGAAGGTAAACACAGTGTAGGCGGTGTATAAAAGCTCTTTGAGCGCTGGTGCTGCTCTTCTCTGAGTTACACGTCCCGCTGCCTCCTGGAGTGACCACACACCCCTGGCCGAAATGTCCTTAAAGTGAAGTCTGAGTACGAAATATATCTCAAATAATGTATGCACTGTCATTTCCCCACGTAAACATAACAGTCTGTGTTCTGTTACAGCTAAGTTTACTCTTGTTTGCATTTTCTGGGCTATTCTTTGTGTGCCTATTGTGCCTAGTCGTGGTCCCTTTAAGAATCAGGATGACATCATCAGATGGGTGTGTCAGGTGATCATTAGAGATGAAATAGGCAAAGCATGGCTCTGTGAGCAATGTGTTATTGTTTGTTAGAAATCCAGCTACAAGCTGCTGAGGATTTAGACATTGAGAAAGAAAGGAGTAAAAAATGTTTAAGCTCTGTATCATTGGAAGCAGCATTACGCACACAGCAATATGTTGTTGACCAAGCCAAAAATAACGGAGGCTAAACCTCAACTAAGTCATCATTATGTACCAGCAAATACAAAGCCAAGTCCTGGCGACAGCATTTCACATTCACAGCTCAAACCAGAAGCCAAACCTTTCATTCTCCATCAAACCAATCCTGGATCCCAATCACCTCATCTTACCTCACAGCAGCCTCGCATCAACAGAGACGAGTATGCTCATGGGTCACGCAATGTTAGGTTTGAGAACAACCGCTGTACTCCTGGACAGTATTACAGGCCTCAAAACCACAGTGGTAATCCTTCCTCATCGCCCCATCCCATATCTCCAAATTACAATCACGACGACTCAAACCTGAATGACTTTGTGAGATATTTAGCACGGCACGAGCTTGTTGCTACAGGTTTGCTTCAATTCAATGAAAAACCTCAGAATTACAGAGCATGGAAACGGTCTTTCCAGACCGCAACCCGGGGTTTAAACCTGACACCAAGTGAGGAGATGGATCTTCTGCACAGGTGGCTTGGTAACGAGGCAAGACAACATGTCGAACAGATAAGAGCAATACACATAAATCACCCTGAAGCAGGATTAGCAATGATATGGGACAGACTCGAGCGAACATATGGCTCACCAGAAGTCATTGAAGACGCTCTGTTCAAACGCATTGACACCTTTCCTAAAATAACAAATCAAGATTATTCCAAACTGACAAAGTTAAGTGATCTATTAATGGAACTTCAATCTGCCAAAGCAGAAGGAGACTTGCCTGGTCTCTCCTTCTTCGACACAGCCAGAGGCGTCAACCCAATAGTTCAGAAGCTTCCATTCGGTCTGCAGGAAAAGTGGGCATCAGTCGGTGCATCCTACAAGCGGCAAAATCTTGTCCACTATCCACCCTTTGACTTCTTCATGAACTTTGTCTGCCAGGAGGCTATCATGAGGAATGATCCGAGCTTCAACTTCGCCTCCCACACAGACACAGCTAAACAGAATGATAAGACAGGTTGGAAACCAAACAAATATCGGGAGATCTCTGTCCACAAAACAGAGATCTTCCCCGGAGTCGTTACTGAAACCAGTGAGCCCCCAACAAGATCTGAGGACTTTGATAAAATGTGTCCGATACATGAAAAGCCACATCCACTCCGCAAATGTCGTACATTCCGAGCAGAGCCCATTGATGAGCGTAAGGCATTCCTAAAAGAGAATAATGTGTCATTTCGCGAAGAACTGTAAAATGAAAATGCAATGTTTTGAATGCAAAAGTGAAAGACACCATACAGCACTTCACCCTGGACCCGCACCCTGGATGGAG